GGCCAAATTCTCATCAATAGAGAACTGGTTAAATGAAGTATGGTACATCCACGCAATCAATGCAGCTATAAAAAGAAATAAGTAATCTCTCTGCATAGTTCTATGGAATAATCTCTAAGATAAAGTAAAAAACCAAGTGTAGAACAATATATATAATATGCTAAATATGCTACATCTTGGTTTAAAAAAGGGGAGTGAGATAAAAATGTGTATTTGGTTACCTATGGGGAGGAATGGGAACTGGGCAAATATGGAACAAAAATGGAAATTTTATTTTAACATTTCACGTTTTTGAACCATGTGCATGTATTACCTATTTTAAAAAGCTAGATGCTTCAGGTTCTGAAGAACTCTAAAAAATTTTGAGCAATGACAAAAATCAGTTTGGCATGCCCCCCCACCCCCCCGCCAAGATCAAAGTAAGATTTCTGTTCAACATTTGTACCCTGTAAACCATCCCCTCTCCCCCCGGCAATAAAATGCAGGTTCACTGTGAAAGGTTTGCAAGAAATAAACACATTTTAATTTTCCTGACACTTTTCATATTTTCCAGACATTTTTTCTATATTTTTCCCACCCAGCAAAATGAATTTTAGCCCCACCCAATAAAATCATAATATGGATTACATATTTATAGTGGACATGTGTTCACTATGTGCACAGCAATGGTGACTGACTGTTCCTCTCCTAGGTGAGGGTTTTCAATTATAATGCTCCTCCCACAGGGCAGGGGAAGCAACCTATCCTCCCTCTCTACAGTGACTGAGCGGTTTGAAGAAGGCAATGCAGGCCTAAGGTGAATCAATAAAAGTTCTTCCTGGGTTTCACTGTTAGAGCTAGCAAGGAAGGCTCTTTTGCCTTTGGGGTTATAATACTAGGAAGATAACACATTATATCACAAGATCTTGTGATATAATGTGAAGGCAATTAAGCCAATACAGTGAGGAAAGCAGCCCAGGAAGAGACAGAAACAGAAAAAGACCCAGCATCATTATCTGAGCCATGAATCCAGCCATATTTACACTTCCTGGTGATGTGAGCCAATACACACTCTTTTTAGTTTAAGCTAGTGTGACATGTATTCCTGTCCTCCCTTACACCCAAGAGTACTGACTAATTTATCAATTTTTTCATATCATTGGATATTCTTTAGAAGCATGGTTTGAAATGCTGACATACTTTCCATCACATGGATATATCATAATTTATCTATTATTATCTTATTAATATTAATAGTATTCCCGTACTACTGATAATTTGGGGGGTGTTTCCAATTATTTACAATTAAACATGTCTTTTTTTTTGGCCACTCTGAGCAGCTTGTGGGATCTTAATTCCGCGACCAGGGATTAAACCTGAGCCCATGGCAAAGAAAGCTCCAAGTTCTAACCACTGGACTGCCAGGGAATTCCCTGTCATGTTTTTTTTAAGCCTCAACTGTATAATCAAACTTCATCTTTGTGAAGACTACATGCAGAATTCCAAATGTGTGTACAGCATAAAAAACAATGGCCCAGGCCACAAAAAGTATACTGTTTGAATATCTGTTCTTAAAGATCCCCAACATTTTGTTTGTCAAGCTTGTGACTGAGACAACAGTCTCAGAATAAAACAACCTATAACCTCCAAGTTCCTTATATGTACAATGAGTGACAAGTGAATGTCTTAATATTAAACACACAAATCCCTGAAGCTATTTTTTGCCCCTGTCCTATATTAATCTACTTCTTTTTCAAAGTGTATATTCTATTCATGTCCATTCAAAAATCTTTTTAAAAAATGGAAGTGTTATATTTTAATTTGTTAAACCATGTTCTAAGGTTGTTTATAACATACATGACATTTGTCTGATCTTGTTAAAGTTGTGACAAATAAGAGATTCTGTAAGATATCCTATAGCTAAGACTCTTCTCTCTCCCCCCAAAAAGTAGAAAAAAAGAAATAAACTTCTAGGGCATTAAAACAGCTATTTATTAAGACAAGAATAACAATAATAGTAAACATTCATTCACGAATCACAACTATAAACCTGACTAGGTGACTATAAAGAGGCTCACATTTCAGTAATACATCTAACTAAGTAGAATTAGTCTACCTTTTCAACATTTTTTTTTCTAATAATAACATTTAAGTTCAAATATACAATACCTATAAGAGGAACTACTAAAGAATAATTTTTGGTATTACATCAGTCTGTCTTAAATCCTTCTAAAAGATTATTAGAAGTACCAATCAACTTCATGCTAGAATGGCTGAACTGTGGAATTACAATACAGTTAACTTATCTATCTAGGGCCTTATTAACTTAATGAACGGCACTATAGTTATTACTTATTATTATTGTTACTATTAACACTATCGTATATAAATCTGTAAAATTACCATTGGATTAAAAGACATTTACCAGTACCGTCTTCTACTTCTCCATTCACTCCTATGCTTAGAAAATGCCTGCTTCTGCCTCAAATAAAAGTCAAAAAGCTCTCAGAAATAAGAGGTCAAGCCTATTGAATTAATTTCATGTTTGTCTCTTCTTTTTTTAACCAACTTAATTCTCCTTTAGCTCTTGGGCACAAATCATTATTTACTTTTTTCGATAAAACAGTAGAGTTTTGGAAACAAATTTTTACTTTTTCCAGTGGTATCCTAACTACCTATTTCTACTAGATTGGGCAAGAACAAGAAGTGATTTAGGGTATTAAAATTTATCAACAGACAACTTATAAAATATATACTGAATATATCTGTAGCTAGGATACTCATGGTTCTTGTTAACATTTTGACTAAAATGAGGTGATGGCAAACTTTCCAACAAACAATACATTTTTTAATAAACAAGAAGTTTCCCTAAAACAGCAAGTCAATTCTGACTCTTTAAATTCTAAGAAACAAAAAAACAGAAAAGACCCAGGAAAATAACTATTAAAAAACAAAAACAACAACTTTTCTTTTGGCAACATGTAAGCATGAAATGGCAACCAGCCCTCTTAATCTTTTTTTTAAACATAGTGGCTTAAGGAAATTAACTAAGGAAGTAAAAAATAAATTAATATGATATCTATGTAAGAGAGATATGGGGGGAGGACTATTTAACAGAATGCTGGAGTGGGGAATTATTATTTAATTGTGTGTGGTAGTGTAAAATCTTACATTTTTTGGTTAAGAAATTTTAAAAAAAGGTTAAAACTACATGTTCAATTTTATATTGTACATGTACTGTAGGCCCTCAAAGGCTGAAGAAACACAGCCAAGTTAAATCATGTTTGTTTAATTAAAATCCTTGCAAAAATGAACTGAGTACTTCATGGGACTGTAAGGTTCTCATTGTCATTCTTACGTTAGAGACTCACTCATAGTGCTAATAAGTCATGTATTCAAAAAACTATTGCTTAGAAAAGAGATAGGTACAAACATGTAAAAACACTAGTTAGAACAGTTAAAAGAAACACTTCCGTAGTTAAAAAATACCTGTAATATAAGTAAACATATAATAAATAAAAATGCACAAAATATTACAAGTAGCATATTCTTAATAGACTTAGGGCACTGACTAAAACTGGCTTGATCTGAAGAAACTAAAATGTAAGGCAGAAATCTTAACTATTAGCAAAACTCTGCGCTTAACTTTAGGAATTATCAACACCTCTACTATAAATTTCAGGTAATAACAAGCATTTCCCTCTCCCTTTTGCAAATATGCCTTCTTTTAAAAGGGAAAGATTAATTGGGAACGACTATAAAAAGATTTACACTAATTCAAAACGATATATTAATATCTTGAGAACCCTCTGGCACTTAAAATATGAGACAGACTTCCCTAAGCAACTATTTCATAACTTTACGATAATGCAGCATCACCATAATATACAAGAACCATGCACAAAAACACCCCCAAATAAAAAGCAAAGCCAAGTTGACGCTAATTCTTGGTCCAGATAATCTTTCTTAGTTCCCACACAGGTAATGTTTTTGAATATCAACTTGAAATGTTAGTGAATTTTTAAAAACCTGTAAATCTGTTCATAAATTAAACCTTGAATCTTTAAAAATCACCATTCAGCTACAGAAATTCGTTTAGTTCTACACTGTTGATATTTTTAACTTTGAATATTGGGAAATTTCTAAGTCAAAATAAAAGCCAATGTGTCAATCCCCTTATACCACCCCACCCGCCAAACCCCAAACAAAAAGCAAAACCTCCTTACCAGCTTTTCTTTTTAAACAAGTAGTTAAACTACTTTTTTAAAGCTAGCCTTGCTCTCAGTTCTCTACTGCACCTTTACCTTAAACCAAAACGGACCCTGGACAAGACTAATTGAGCTCTGTTTCCAGGAGACTCACAAGTGGCTTTTCGCTGTCAGGCCTGGGAGCAGTAAGGCCTCCTAGTTTTCGGACCCCTCTCCCAGCATTTCGCACCCGCTCAATTCAAGTGTGATAAGAGGGGCCGAGAATGCTGGGCCCGAAAGGGCATCGCCGGGGCCTAGACCACTGCACGGTCCCCAAGGCGGCTCGCGCGGTAGGCAAGAGGGAGGAGGCATACAGAACCGGGCGCTGGAGGCCAGGGGTAAACGGAGGAGGCGCTTGGACTTGGAGCGCAATGCTCGGGACCCCTTCGCTGCCTCCTTTACCCTCCCTTCCCCCATGCTGGAGAGGCAGGGCCCGGGCCCGGTGCGGGAAGGGGGAGGAGGTAAACTCGTCCTGTCACTGCACCGGGAGAGGCTGGAAGGAGCACATGTTCAACGGGGAAAGGCCGCGGCCGCCCCGGCCCCTAAAGCCAGAAGCCACCTCCAGTCCCAGAGTTCTGTTCCCTGCGCCTCACCAGGTCGTAGTCCTCCTCATCATCGCACATGAAATCATCCTCCATGTCAGACATCTTGGCTGGGACGGGGGGGGGGAGCGGGGGAGGAGAAATTGGAGACAACCTCCTCCCACAATCCTCCGCGGCTCAGAGGCGTCACTCCCAGCTTCTCCTCGCCTTCCCGTCGCCCTTAGAGGAGCTGACTGTTTCCTCCCGGAACAAATGAGCTCGGTTTCCAGAGGATTCGCTCCGACGCCGAAAGCGATTGCACCGTTCCCTCTTCCTGTGAGACGGTTGGTGCCTTAGCAACTAAACCTAGCAACTAGGGAATCCTCGAGTGTTGCGGATCTCGGCTGAGGGGCCTTGGAAACCTTGAGCTCACAACGAGCCGTTTCCAGCCTCCTGGGCAAGGGAACAGTATCCTCCCTTGCCTGGGATTCTGGAACCATTTCATTCTGGTGAAAGTAAGAGGCAGCTTGGGACCAGCAGCCTTTCGCGGAGAAAAGTCTGACATGCCCATCCTATGTGACAGGTAGTTATTTTTGCCATGATTATCGATGTGCATTTAGCCCACACATTTTGGTGGGTGGTCATGTGATGTTTGGAAACCTTTCGGCAGCACGATTTACACGTAATGTTTGTTATATTTGTAGTCGGCAAAACGACTCTGTGGATATCTAAAATTAGTAAAGTATCAATCATTGGAGGCATCTGAAGTCCTATTCAGTTGTTCAACGAATTATAAACTAACCTTTACTGCCCGTGGGACCGAATTAAGGTAACAGCTAACGACTGTTTTTTTAAAAAATGCGTTATTGTTGCACAACATCATTAGTAGAATTCGAAATAAAAAAAATGAAATGAAGAGGAAAAAACTGCTTTTCAAACAACATTTTCCATATAAACTTCCAGTTTTGTCCACTTGAATTCACAAATTTTATATAGCTATAGCACAGATATAATTTCAGATTCTTTCTGCACCTAGTTATGTAACAGCATAGGACAATGTATGCAATATATTGTTGACAACGATTATTTTAATGGCGGCATAATAAGCCCTTGGTTGAATGTACCAATGCACCGTAGTTTACTTAAGCATGCTATTATTGTTACACATTTTGAATATTGCAACAGTACCACCATTTTAAACAATTCTGGAGCGAGTATCATTGTCACTTTATTTTTCCTTAGGAAAAAGTCCAGGAAGAGGAATTGCAGACTGGATTTTTTTTTTCCATTTTGGCAGTTACTGAGTAAACTGCTTTTTTTTGTTTGCTTGTTCCTGTGGCATGCGGAATCTTATTTCCCCTACCAGGGATCAACCCATGCTCCCTGAATTGGGAGCGCCAGGAAAGTAAGTACTGGATTTTTTAGTAATCATTTGTTTTTGTGTTTTTTAAAATAATTTAAAAATTTTTTATTGGAGTATAGTTGATTTACAATGTTATGTTTCAGGTGTACAGGAAAGTGAATCAGTTATACATATATCCACTCTTTTTTTTTTTAGATTCTTTTCCCATATAGGCCATTACAGAGTATTGAGTAGAGTTCCCTGTGCTATACAACAGGTTATTATTAGTTATCTATTTTATATATAGTAGTGTGTATACCTCAGTCCCACTCTTCCAATTTATCTCTCCCCCTTATCCCCCAGTAACCATAAGTTTGTTTTCTACATCTGTGACTCTACTTCTGTTTTGTAAATAAGTTCATTTGTACCGTTTTTTCTAGATTCCACATATAAGCGGTATCATATGATATTTGTCTTTCTGTATCTGCTTTCTTCACTCACTGTGACAGCCTCTAGGTCCATCCATGTTGCTGCAGATGGCATTATTTTGTTCTTTTTTTATGGCTGGGTGATATTCCATTGTAATATGTACCACATCTTCTTTATCCATTCCTCTGTTGATGAACATTTAGGTTGCTTTAGTATATGTGCTGCTGAAGCAGGCACCCTTTTGCCCATTTTTAAATTGGTTATCTTACTACCATTGAGTTGTAAGTGTTCTTTATACTTTTTGTTGTATTTAAGTAATATTTGCCATACCCAAGGGCACTAAGATTTTTCTCTTTTGTTTTCTTCTAGAAGTTTTATGTAGTTTTAATTCTTACATTCAGATCTATGATATAGTTCAAGTTTAATTTTTGTATATACTGTGAGGTAAATGTAGAGGTTTATATTTTTCTGCATATGGATAACAAATTGTTCCAGCATTATTTGTCAAAAAAAATGATCCTTTCTCTATTGAATTGTCTTGGCAGTTTTGTGAAAGATAATAGACCATTTAATTCCCAACAGAATTTGACCCTTTAAAAGTATATTTTTGGGCTTCCCTGGTGGCGCAGTGGTTGAGGGTCCACCTGCCGATGCAGGGGACACAGGTTCGTGCCCCGGTCCGGGAAGATCCCACATGCCGTGGAGCGGCTGGGCCCATGGGCCATGGCCGCTGAGCCTGCGCGTCCAGAGCCTGTGCTCCTCAACGGGAGAGGCCACAACAGTGAGAGGCCCGCGTACCGCAAAAAAAAAAAAAGTATATTTTTGATAATTTTATGTTATCCTGTATTATGATTATTTTGTATTTATTCTTTATTAAGCTGAAAGCTCCTTGAGGACACAACTATTTTACTTACCTCTGAAAGTCAGCATGCTCAGTGAAAGCATGATATATTTAAGCATGCTCTAGCATTCATGACTCCCCAGTGCTGGATTGAGACATGTGGTTACCCCAAACAGGTTCATGATTTGGAAACTTTCAGAGCAATTACCTTAAAACATTTTTTTTTTTTTTACTACATTTACTTAGGTTGAACATCGTATGTTAGAAGGGCAGAAAAGGAGGACTCCTTTTGTGTCAGTCAAGATCTGGACAGGAAACTCATAGCATACTGGAGCGGGGGTGAGGACGTTAACTGAAAAGAGTTTCTGAAGGAACTATTTACAGAGATGGGGTAGGGTTGAGGGAACCCACAAGGATGGTGAAACACACAGGGACTAGCAACAGGCTGGAAATCCCATTTCTTGAAGGCTTGAAGGGGCAAAGGGAAGAAATGGTTTTACCAGAGCCCAGCAAGAGTGGGAGCCCTAGAGGATGCACCCTCCGACAGCACCTGTGGTTATAGGGAAACGTAGCTACTGTCACAACTATGGCAAAGTTGTGGTAGGGTGTGTGAACTCGTGTGTGTGTGGGGAGTGATCAATATCTCAACTTCTCTGTTTTACCATCCTCTAATATCTTGCCAGTGACCAACCCCAACCAGAAGCCAGAGGGTGAAGGAGCCCAGGTACAGTCCTTAGAGATCAGCTTCCGGGAGGGTAGAGAAGGGTGAAAAATGGATCCAGAAGTCAAATGGGGGGACTTCTCTGGTGGTCCAGTGGCTAAGACTCCATACTCCCAGTGCAGGGGACCCAGGCTTGATCCCTGGTCAGGGAACTAGCTCCCACATGCTGCAACTAAGAGTTCACATGCCACAACTGAAGATCTTGCATGCCGCAACTAAGACCCGGCACAGCCAAATAAATAAATAAATATTTTTAAAAAAAAGAAGTCAAATGAGGAGTAAACAGTATAACATTGTGTCATGCAATCAGCTGTAGCATAAATTACATACTTCACTCAGGGAAGGAACTTTCTCTCCTTCAGAGGCGAATTGCCGACTATCTGCTGTTGTTGGAGCATATCCCTTGATTTTACCAGCCAACCTAAGTGGCTTATCAAAATGTTATTTCTGCCTACATTTAATGCCCACTCTTTCCTGAGAGGAGCTCTGATAAATACACTTTGCATGATCTCATTACATATCCACCTTATAGATTAATGCCCTTGCCTTGTTAGTTGTCCTTTTAATCTGCTTCAGTCTCTTCAGATTAAATAAAATGATGTATGTAACTACATGGTGTTTACAAAGTACTCAGTACATGTATCATTTTTAACTAAATCAACTACTCTACTCATAGTATTCCTTCAGAATGCTCTACACTACAATTACATCTTCCATCTCTAAACTTGCGTAGTGGGAATTACAGCAATTAAAGGATAGAGCAAATAAAGGATAAGTAGGCAGGCTAGGAGTTTCCATTTTTTGCATTGACTTTGGCCTTGGAAAAATGTCACTTGTAAAATGCACTTACACAATTTTAGCAATGTTATTTGCCATTTTTGTATCTCTAATGCCTACTCATTTTTATTCCCACCCAAAATGGTGATCATACCTCCCTAGTTTTGTGAAATGAACACATTTGTTTTTTTTGGGGGGGGGGGCTGCACCATATGAGGGATCTTACTTCCCTGACCAGGGTTGGAACCTGTACCCCCTGCAGTGGAAGCATGGAGTGTTTTTTTTAAAAAATTAATTAATTAATTAATTTTTGTCTGCGTTGGGTTTTCGTTGCTGCGCATGGCTTTCTCTAGCGGTGGCGAGCGGGGGCTACCCTACGTTGCGGTGCGCGGACTTCTCATTGTGGTGGCTTCTCTTGTTGCGGAGCACGGGCTCTAGGCGCGTGGGCTTCAGTAGTTGTGGCTCACAGGCTCAGTAGTTGTGGCTCGCGGCTCTAGGGCACAGGCTCAGTAGTTGTGGCACGCCAGCTTAGTTGCTCTGCGGCATGTGAGATCTTCCCGGACCAGGGCTCGAACCCATGTCCCCTGCGTTGGCAGGCGGATTCTTTTTTTTTTTTTTAACATCTTTATTGGAGTATCATTGCTTTACAATGGTGTGTTAGTTTCTGCTTTATAACAAAGTGAATCAGCTATACATATGCATATATCCCCCATCTCCTCTCCCTTGCGTCTCCCTCCCACCCTCCCTATCCCACCCCTCTAGGTGGTCACAAAGCACCAAGCTGATCTCCCTGTGCTATGCGGCAGGTGGATTCTTAACCACTGTGCCACCAGGGAAGTCCAGGAAGTGAGGAGTCTTAACCACTGGACCGCCAGGTTAAGTCCCTGAGCGCCCTTTTCAGCAAGACGTGTGGTGCGGAGGCAAAGTAGGGAGCTGACACAATTATACTGTAACTATCTCAGATTCCAGAGATTAAATCTGTTTATCGTTTTTGACTTCTTTTAAACCAGAGCTTTCCCCTATTTCCTTCAGCTTTTTCCTACTTCTCAGAATCTGTACCTATCTTTTCTCTACCCCAGTCTTTCATCCCTACTCTCATTCCTACCCTCAACTAGGGACTTAGTTTGAGACCTCAGCATTCTGGATTCCGTATGAGTTATTAATACTATTACTGCTGCATTATGGCTTAGATTTAGTTTTATGGATTGATCGGAGAATCAAAATTAAAAAAAAAAAGCTGTTTCTCATTATAATGCAACATGCTTGGGACTTCCCTGGCAGTCCAGTGGTTAAGACTCCGAGCTTCCACTGCAGGGGGTACAGGTTCGATCCCTGGTTGGGGAACTAAGATCCCACATACCACATGGCACGGCCAAAAAATTAAAAAAAATTAAAAAAAAAAAGAATGCAACAGGCTTAGATGTTATAGGTTGTTTTGACTACCTCAGTTTTTTCCTAGAAAAATAAATCCTTGAATTATGCAAGTCACCTGAGATCCCTTCCAAACATATTCTTAAAAAAGAAAAAAATCACTTAAGATAATAATCATAACTTATTGAGTTGGGCAACACTGAATGGTTATGACAAGATAAGATGTAGAAAATATTGTCAGGTTTGAACAGCCTTGGTACTATATTTAGTTTCTGGGTCAAGACAGTGAAAAGCAAAAACAACATATAGTTTTTCTTGACCACACTCTGCATTTTTGTTTGTTTTTTAGTTCCCCAACCAGGGATTGAAAGTGGGCCATGGCAGTGAAAGCACCAGGTCCTAACCACTGGACCACCAGGAAATTCCCATACATATAGTTTTAAGTTGGGGCAATTTATGTGCAGTTTGGCCCATCTAATGTATACTTTAAGCTTGAAATGCAAACTTCTAATTTCAAAATCAAGTTAATCTAAATTTTTGCTCATCAGATTTCATTTTCTTGTTGGAATGTGTATTATATGCAGAGTTTGTATCAATTTTTATAGTAAATTCTTTTATTAAATTTTGATTTGTCATAATAACAGGACCTTTTTGTTTATGTTTATTGTTGTATCCTGAGTACCTGGATTAGTGCTTAGAACATAGTAGCACCTGATAAACATTTGCTAAGTGAATGAATGCTGATAGAACAATGGATGAAACATGGAATGTAAAGTCTAATGGTGGAGACATAATAGATATAAACATCAATAAATAATTAATGTAATTTCAGATAGCCATAACGACAACAAACCAGATTTAGGGAATAGAGAATGACTGGAGGGGAGGTTGGGATGGTTTTTAAAATCTTCATAACAACTCCAT